ATCTATTGCCCTTCACCAAGTACCATGAACATTTACTCAGCTTAATTTAGTATAGGACAACAACAGTGGGGCACTTAGTGAGAAACAAGCTCAATAGGAATGACTGGCAAAAATAGTTTGCTATCCACTACTACTTCCAAAAGATACCTACTCAGTAAACTTATTCTAGCCCGAGGACTTCATGAATAGTGCAGCATCCAATTAGGATTAAATTCATTAAACATTGTAAGACTAGCTTACTAGCCAGTTATCTACAGCACACACTCTGATAACATAAGAAATAATCAAGGAATTATATTTGGAAGAAAAATAATTATTTAGAAAATACCTGAATTATGAAATAAAAAAAATAGAAGTACTATGATGCTTAGGAATAAAGCACCTGAAAAAACTGAACATCTTACTCTTTTAAATGAGAAATCTTGAATAGTGTTTTTACATAAAATTGTATGGAAAGAAAGCAAGAATATATCTTGAAACAAAAAAAGCAAAATTCATAAAAGTTATAAATCAACCTCAAAATTCAATTAACATTTTTCTGATGAATTCTTAAAATTCTCACTTTGTTTTACTTTTCTAAGTTTCTTTGCTACAAACCATCAATTGAAATTTAAAAAAAGTCAATTTTCACTTAATACAAGATTAAGGGGAAAAAATTAACATTGATAAGGAGAAAGTTGAAATTAAATCTAAATAAAATAAAAACAGGAAGCAATATTTATTTATAAAAAGTGAAAACTTTCAAATAATCCCAAGATCATTTTTTACTTCAGGTTTTATTGATTATCAATTATTGAGCATTGTTTTAATAAATTTTTTTAAATATCTCATGGACACAGCAAAATGATTAGAAAATAAAAATAATGAATTATAAAAAATTGGTTATCAGTGACTCAGGGATACTTTTTTTTTTAGCTACAGAAACATTAATTAAAAAAACAAAACACACAAACCAGACCTTTTTCTAACATTTTCAGTTAAAGATCATTTTAAAGATGAAAATAAAAATAAAAATCTAACTCTGAAAAAAGAAAAATGAATATGAAAATTAAATAAAAAAAAAACAGATGAGGAAAAAAAAAATCAATAAATTACATAAAAATGAAAAAAAGATCAAATTAGAACACAAAGAAACAAATTACATATGTATTTTTACAAAATATGATAAAAACGTTTATAATAAATTGTCAATTTGGATCTGCAGTTTATTTCTGCTAAGGGGAAAGAAAACAAAATCTAAAGTCTCTTCTTCCTAGGAACAATTTACACCATTTGGTCACCAGCTTTGGGCTGATGGCTAAAATGTGTCTTCTATTCCATTTTGTTGGGTTCCATGATAGAAAGGAATCAGCAGCAGCCATCGCCGCCAATAATAAAGATAATAATAATAATAAGGTCAGGCAATGGCCAGATGACCGACCTACTGGCTGGACACAAGGTCCACACAATTATTACCTATCACGTGGTCCTTGACCGCAAGAAATTACAAGAAGTAATTAAAAAAGTCTACCTACCACCACTATTAATAAAAAGAAATCCTTTTTTTAGAGTTCAATTTGATTTGAGACTCCAAAAATGATTAAAGGGGAAAAAACGAAGTTGAATATAAATTTTGTAGCGAAATGCAAGCGTCAATTTAAATTAAAATCGCACTAAGAAAACTTTATTCAAACTTTACCTATTCCAAATTATAATGGTTGAAATTTTAATTTTATTCAGTCGATTTATTTTAATTAATGGGATCGCTGAAACTGCAACAATACACGAATGTTATTTTTTGTTTTCAGAAAGGAAAAAAAAAAAACATTTTGGTGGGGGTTAGTTATTGATTGAATGTTTACTTTTTTAAAAAAGTGCCCACGTTTAACATTGAAATGTGTATGTTTAAAAGATTAATTTTGTGATTTTCCTTAAGAGGAGAATCAAAACGTAAAAGAAAAAAATAAAAAGTAATAATAAAATTGCATAATGATATGCGAAGTTCTGAAGGTGACTATCGCTACTTTGTTTGGATCGATATGGAGCAGGTTGTGAGGAGGACGGTAGCAATATTGCCGGGTGGGAGGCGGACTAAGGATTGGGTGGCACCTCCACCCCCGTCGAAAGAAAGTAGAGATGCAGGGTACACACAGAAAATGTAGGACATCTACACATTACCCACACTGACAAGAATCTAACACAAGCACAAAAAAAAACTAATGATAACGCAACACACGACATCATGCTTACAAGAAAGACATATACAGAGGGTTAGAGTGAGAGAAACGGAAAAATACGAGAAAGAATGTAGCGCACACACACACACACAAATATAGGACAAGCACATTAATATTCACGAATAATAGAAAATGTAGGACAAACACATTAGTATTCATACACATAAGAATTTGACGCACATGCTCTGCTGAGTGGATACATGGTAGCAGAGACACCCGCAGTAACGTAACGACTGACAGAAAATCCTTCAATAAAGTGTAAACTAATGCATGACAGTGCACTTACGGCAACAAAGAAATGCCCAACACAACTAATTTACGAATCGGTTAAATAAAAAATTCAATAATTCTAAAATTCGACAATCAAAGTCCCACTTGACTTAAGTTTAATTTTTAGACTAAACTTTATCCCTAACTTAGTGTTTGAAGTAGTTAAAAAATACTTAACAGAATCAAAGGGAAATAAACACAAATACCCGTAAAACTTCTCTTGACATTATTTGCAGTATTGCCTCCCCTCCTAAATAAGTTCAATTGAAAGTTTTAATAAGGTTGGAGTGGGGCATGAAATTTGCTAATATAAACTGGAAAATAAACTTACCCCCCCACAAAAAAAAATGAAAAGTTTTTCTATATAGGATACTATCAGCCAAACTAGTGTGTCACTTCAGGATAGCTTTTTTTAACTCATAAAAAACTCCAGCTACAAGTTTTAGGGAGTCAGAGAAAAAAAAATACTGGGTTTAAAAACTAAGGGATGTGTGCAAAGTTAATGAATAAATTACTTGGGTGGGGGGGGGGCTTAAATTGGTCAGTATGAATAGAGATTAAATTAAACCAGTATTAAGTTTCATGCCTTCGACCCAAAACTGAAGCGAGTAACTTTCGTATTCGCCTTTATCAATCATCATTAGTGACACTTTAGTGTTCTGAGAAATTATTTCCTAGTATTTTTTGTTCCGTTCCCCCACCCCAAGAAATCACTGCATATCATCCCGACAGTTTCAGTTGTCACCCTGCTATTCTGACATTTTTGGAAACTACGATTCATTTGTTTACACTTTTCTTTACATGATCAATAGCTAGCACTATTTCTTCCACATTCTCACATTTGTTTATATATTTTTTTTACTTTTTAAATTATACACATTTCCTAGCCACTAGATAAAAACCACTCGCACCAGTTGTGTGGCCATCATCATATATCCTTATTTTTTCGTACAGTCCACGAGAGCAAGCACCTTAGTTTTATAGGCTGTTCAGATTGAAAACTATGTTTCATAGAAGGTAAAAAAAAGAAAGGCGGCTATGCAATGAGAGAGAAAGACAACAGCGGGGTTATGTGAAGAAAGGCAGCGCAGGTGAGAGGGAGTGAGAAGGCTTAGCTAGCAGCAGCTCAGCTCTGTTAGTAGCAGCAACTCCTACCCATATCAGAGCCGCCTTTACCACCATCAGCAGCAATAAAGCCAACAACGGTGGCCAATAATAATAATATTACAAGCAGCAAAGAGAGTAAGGTAAGAGCAGCCAGCATCCAGAGCCATGGCCGCCACTGCCGTTTCTCTGCTACTATCAAGCAAGGAGGCAGCTCGCAGGCCTAGTGAGAGAGGGGTGAGGTCGAAGCGTGACGTGTAGAGAGAGGGGCCCTGGCGGCTTGCTCGCTGCTCCTGCTGCTAGCGCCTGCCCCTACAACTACCTCATTCAGTTCTACCTCCTCCTGCCACAGCCACTGCTCCTGCCACCCCCAGCACCAAGACTATAGCAAAGAGAGAGAGGCAAGCCGGCCATCACTGTTGTACTACCACCACCTTCAGCAGCACTGGGCTTCTTTTTAACTACTACTTGCTTGCTTTTAACTACTACACCGCCACCACCATCATCATCTCTTCAACACATAAACCAGCCAGCTTCTTCCTTCATCAACCAACAATCTTCGTCATTACAGCCGGGCTTCGGTCGGTGGACGTCAAGAAAGAAAAAAAAATTACATAAAAACGGACAATAGGCAGAAGTCAGTCGAAGTGTAACACTTTACAGATCGGATTATACCTTAAGAACTCCCTAATTAACCAAAACTAGACTAGAGTGAAAAAAATCCAAACAATAAAAAAAAAAAAAATGTAATAATAATGTTACATTATTCAAAATGTACCATAGTCTTTTCGTTTGTTAGAAACTACGACAGTCACGGCGGAGGAAGTAATGAATGAAATCTATTCGACAAGGACGTAGCTTAACTTCTAAATTCCAACTGTAAATCCCGGCAAAATAGACTTAGTTATCGTGAAAAACCAAGCCGCCAAAGAAGAGCGAACAAAGAGACTTTTTAACTGGCAGCTACCATCGTTCAAGTTGGTCGTAAGGCAATCTCCTTCTCCAACTCGCACACTCCTTCCCTTCCTCACTCACTCAGGCATTGCGCACTCTTACTCACTCCCTCACTTGAGTAGCCGTTTGACTCCCTCTCTCTACGCAACTATATAAGCCGTCCATCGCTCATTTGCTCTCTCGGCGGGACCGAAAAAGGTAAGGCAGTGCGCAGGCGCACGTTGGAATCTAATCACTTCGGCTACGTCCGGAGACCAACGGAAGTTACCGAATCTTCACGAAATAGTATCCGGAGAGTGGCGGAAGTTGACGGTTACCAACGGAGACTTTCGAAAGTTACCGACATTTTACGACATTAATTCCCGACCGACGAAGGGAGATAAGTAATATATTGTAGGCAAACATAAACCGCCAACATACACAGGAACAATGCTTGGCAACTACTCCTATACAGACATGGGCCGTATGAATGTTGTAGAGCCTCCGAGGAGGAAAAAACGTGCCCATGATGCTAACAAACCGAAGAGGTCTACATCGGCATATTTCTATTTCATGGCCAGTTGTCGAGAACAGGCCGCTAGAGCCGGGACCCAAATTACCAAAGTTACGGAGTTTACCAAAGAATGCTCTGCAAGATGGAGGAATTTTACTCCCCTGGAAAAAAAACCGTTTGAGGAAAAAGCAGCATTGGATAAGGCGCGATACGACCGTGAGATGGCCCAGTACAAAGGCAAAGATATGGTTGATCCAAATAAACCGAAGCGGCCACAAACGTCTTATTTCCTCTTCTTGGCAGAGTTCCGGAAAATGATGCAGGGCAAACTTGATCATAAAGACATTCTTCGAAAAGCAGGAGAGCAGTGGAGAAACATGACGGACGAACAAAAGAAACCGTTCGAAATAAAAAGTCAGGAAGAAGCGAAGAAGTACGAAATTGCGATGGCCGAGTATCGAAAGCGACAAGGAGGAGTGGTGATGCTTGACGGCGGTCCGGAGGAGAAAAGAACAAAGATAGAAGATGGCGTGGTCGGGTACGGGGAAGATGTCGAGGAAGAAGAGCTGGACGACGAGGAGGACGAAGAGGGAGACGAAGACGATGACGAATGAACAACAGGAGATAAATAAATAAATATATATATATATTCACACACACGCACACATACACCTACATACACTGACAAACACACACACATACACTAAATAGAAGAAGAAAATGCCCTAAAAAACCTTTTTCATTCTCAGTCACACCATCACTAATAAATTTTACTCCAGCCCAATTCACTTGACACATTACTTCTGGAAAATACCCATAAAAAAAATTCAATCGGTCTCTCTCTTATCAGATTATTTTCTTGTTAATAACAATAGTCGTCGTCGTCGTCTTCATCTTCCCTTTTTGTTCTTTTTTCCTTTCTTTCTTGGAAAAATAAAGAAGTGGAAAAAAAAAATATTTTTTATTTGAAAGAAATATTTTGTTTTTTTTCGCTTCTTTCTCAAATGAAAGTCCTTCTGTTTTTTCTATCCTCTCCCCGTACTGTCAACCATGTCACTGTTATTTTTGTTTCTACTTCCCTCATTTATTTTTTTTTTTTTTTTTTTTTTTTTCTTTTCTTTATTTACCTTTTTATTGAATATTGCTTCTCAGGATTAAACAACTTATTAGGAATGCTGATAATTTATCTTATTTTTTAAATTATTTTATTACTGGAAAATATAGGTTATGTTTTTATTTATTGACTGTTTGTAGCCCCCCCCGTTTTTTTTTTTTTTTTTTTTTTTTTTTATCCGCCTCTTCAATCATCACCACACCGTCTTGTCCGGAAATGATGTGGAGGGGTTTTATAAAAATCCCTTAGAGAAGAAGATAGAGAAAATAGAATGAAAAAGGGGACAAAACGGAAGATGACAAAATCGGCCAATTGAATTTTATGTTTATGGAAGGAAATGTTTTAAAAGAATCAATCGCTTTCTTTTCTTGTGGACACTTGAATTTCAATGACTTACAAAATTGAAACTTTTCCGACAAGTGAAAGTGAATTTTTTTTTTTTTAGTTTTTGTTTGTTTTTTTTGTTTTTTTTTTTCCAGGCCCCCCAGCCGTGGTGTGGACATCTAAGTGCAGCCTCCACATCCGACCTGCCTTTGTCTCGCACTGTTTCTACTACCACTGATGACTCTAACCCCAGCCCACCTAATTGCTACCTACTTTCATCTATATCTACACTATAATTATTATTATTATTATTATTATTATTGCTAGTGACGACAACAATTAGTATACAGTATCTTTCTAGGTCATTAATGTTTGTTGAACATTACCCCTCCGTAATTCTGACTTCTTCAATTTTCATGTTATGTTTAGTAAAATAATAATAATTATAATAAAAAGACATTTTAAAAACAACTCAAATTATCATTCTCACTAACCACATTCCTCAAAATAAGATGATGAATAAGAAAGGCTTTAGCGAGAGAATCTAAAAAGGTTTGGAAAAAGGTTTAATAAATAAAAATCCCCATTTACCCCCAAACGGGACAATTTCCCGTGTTTTTGCTGCTGTACATAGAGATTTTTTAGAGAGTAAATGATGAAAAACAAAATCCCATTTAAAAAAAAAAAAAAAAAAAAAAAAAAGTCATTCATTCATTCAAAGCTATGGTTGCTGCATGTGGTTATTTAACTGTCATTTAAAAACGTTAAACCAGAAGGAAAGAGGAAAAAATTTTGACGTCTCTAAATTGTTTTTCTTTTCTTCTAAATTTTCCCCCCCTAAGAAAAAAAAAGATGATTTCGTTTATTTCTGACTCTTTGATGGCCACATGCAGTAGGTATGTGCTCTGTGGTAGCAATGTATATATTTACTACTTGTTTGTCATGTTTCATTATTAATACTACTAGACTCTTATTTCTTACCCCCCCCTTTTTTCTCAGCCTGTTTTTTTTTTTTTTTTTCCTTTTCATCTCCCCTCCCTCTCAAGATTGCCCCTTTTTTCCGGTCATTTGCAGTCACTCATCCATCACGTGTCTACAAACTTATATATATATATATATATATATATATATATATATATAACACCTCCACCAACACCAATTCCTGATTCTTTTCTCTTTCTGCCATCAAAGAAAGCTTCAAACTACTTACTAGTCCACCTGGAGAGAAAAACGTGTTTCTATCATGTCCGATTAATATTATTATTTCTGCAAGGAACACCAGCCAGTAACTTGCTCTTGTATTCCGTCAACACACCTGTCCATGTGTCTTCTACCTATATTATATATACATATTATATAGCGATGGATATATATTATATATATATTTATATAATATCTATATATAGTCAGGTAGCAATACATATACAAGAAGGAAGCACTAGCCAAATTATTTCCAGGAGAAATTGAAAAAGAAAAAAAAAACAAACTTTTCTTCCTTTTTTTTTCCAATGTGTTAAAAAAAAGTATCTACCTCTTCCTGTTTTAGAAACAACTTCAGTTTGTATAAAAATTGTAATAAGCAATTTTAATAAAAATCAAGTAGGTTCTTTTTGTTAAAGATGAGTTGGAATTTCTTGAAGGAAAATTCTCTTCACAATAATTTTGACTTTAGAGAAGTTATTTCTTTCATCCCCCCTTATTAAACGAACCTAAATTGTTTTCAGTTATTTAAAACAACAAAAGCAAATAATGTATTATACTTAATTGCCATGAGCTAGAGGAGAAATGTTCTAAGAACTTAAGTTGAGATTTTTTTTTAAATTTTTGATTCTATCACTAATAACGACATTTCTTCCTTATCAACATGTACAGATCTTTAATTCTTGGCCCACCTGTCTTTTGTGATTTCTTCGTCTCTTTCAAACTTTCCCTCTTGTGTCAAAATCTTTAAAAGACGTGCTTGGAATTTTTAATTAGGTCAGCATTTACTTCCAAAATTGATCTTGACCATCTTTTATGTAATTTTTTTTCACATGGGATTCTGAAGTTTTACAATTCAAAGTGGAATTTTCAATTTTGCTTGTGAAACTTGTCAGGAAAAAAAAGATAAAAATTCTGATTCCCTGACATTTCCCACAATTTATTTATTAGCTACTTTTTTTTTTTTTTTTTTTTTTTTTTTTCCAATATTTCTTATCCGCTTAAAGGCTTTAATTTTAAATCTAGAGAATTTTATTACTACTGTTACCAATTGTGTTGATCTAGTAAGTAAATAATAAAAAAATCATTTTCTCACATGTTCAGAATTGCATAAGAGAAATTGAATTATGCTATTGTTCCTCTTTGTGGAAGGAACTTTAACAGCTTGGAGAAAGAAAAGGAAAATAGTTTCTTTAAATTTTCTTTCTCTTGTCTCCCAAGATCCAAAATAACTGTCTGTAGCAGCTTCCACCACATGGCCTGCCTTATTTTCTCACCACCACAAGAAATCGGTTGCCATATTAGAGCAGAAATTCCTTTAGTTATAATTTTAAGAGTATCTTTTTATTCAAAGGCCTCTCAAACTGCCATTATTACTGAAACTTTTAAACCATGTAGTATTCACTTAATGTCTATATCCTATTGACTGCATGTTAAAATATTTTAGTTTGCACAAAATGCTTTAAAAAAAAAAACAATTAAATAAGCCCCCCAAAAGTGAAGAAGTCCAAGATTGGATTTTTTTTTTTTTTTTTTTTTTTTTCCCAGGTGAAATTTCACTTGTACTTGTGAGTTGTTTTAGCCAGTAATGTCTTCCAAAATTTATTAATCACTTCTATTTGTTTTAACCATCTTATTTAAGGTGCTTTTCTTCATTTTGCTTGTGGGAACTTTCTTCAAAGGACTTTTAAATATCAACTGACCCTCATTAAGAGGAATGAAGAACCAAGGGGAGGGGTTGTAAAAGAGGAAGAAAAAAAACTTTTTTTTTTTTTTTTTTTTTTTTCTCTCTCTTCTGAAATGATAAAATTTCTGAAGCAATAAGTACTCTCCAGTTGCAGTACTTCTCTTTGGGAATATCTAAGATATGCCTAGATTACGTTTAGTATCTTGTTCTGTAAGTTGTATAGCGCTTTCATTGTGCACCATGTGACCATGATAACCTCTGTGCCGTGATCATGGGACCGGTGGCCACCTTTTGGTCCTGGACTTGTATTTGTCGTGGTTAATAAAGATTTCATTATTAGTTGAAACTCTGTCAATTTTTCTCCCTGTTAGACACTAACATGTCAAAGAAGTGTTTATAACAGGTGATTTTCACATAACCTCTTTCTGTACAAGAAGACAGTGACAGCAATTGTTGATAAACTTTTTGAACTATTGTTGGATGGGGGAGAAGGGTTATTTTAACTCTTACAATTTCTGTCACTTTTCAGTCATTAAAACACAAATAACTTTGTCCTCAATTTGACAACCTGATGCTGTCTGCTTGTCATCATACTGGGTTTCAAGTTGCTTCATTTTGATTTTATTACTCTCTTCATTTCAAATGTTAATCCTTATTTTTCATGAATTAAAGCATTAAACACCAAATTTTATTTATTTTTTTTTTTTTTTTTTGCATTTTACAGAAATACATTAGCAGATTAAATGAAAATTTTTTCCTTTCTTCGAAATTTTCATTATTGTCAAAAAAAAATTCAAGGCATATTTAGAAAGATTAGATAATGGTGATGTACTTAAATCATTTCCCTTTTCTACTTTAATGTCTCAGCATTAAAGAAATATTCCATCATGCAATGTCATGTCTATGTTGCGCTTGTAACATTTTTTTTATTTATATATATATTTTTTTTTAACCCTACATCATTTGGTCAGTATTGTTGATAAAACTTCAAATTTTAAATGTATTCGTGCCATTCTGGACTTTGCACTTAATATACTTATACCCTATATGTAAATTTGGTATTTTTTAATTTTGCCTGTACAATGGGATAACGTGTCTTTTTTTTTTTTTTTCTACTTTATTTATTTATTTATTTTATTTTATTTATTTTTTTTAAATTAAGTGTTTCTCAACATGTTTATTTTCTCCAAATTGGGGAAATTGATCTTATTTCAAATCTATAATAGATTAGCACTAAGTAGCCTTTACAATTTGTTTACCAATTCTGGTCCATGTTATTGTCAAATGTG